CCCACAACCACATCCATACATCCACTCACACCCACATCCACACACCCATACCCACACGCACACCCACACCCTCGTGCATGTCTAAGTTGTATAAAAATACTTTCCTTCAAGTTGCTAAAAAATCTGAATAGGCATTAATTGAATATTTGGCTTAACTAAATCAAAATTGTGATAAACCTGATTTGCAGATTTTTAAAATGTGAATAACGAAAAACAAATAAACCTTTTTGTTGGAATAGATTGACGCATGTTAAAAAAGTATTCACTCAACTGGTAGAGTTTTTTATGATCTACAATTGACGTATTTGGTTTTTTCTGTATGCGATCAAAGAGCAAAGCAAAATTGAAAAAACTAAAATAGCAGCTTGAAAGTGAGCCGTTTCAAAGTATAGCATTGCTGATCAGATATGGCTTTTTAGTTATCTTTTTGAAGAATTCTCTTTATGAAATTTTGTAGAGAATCTCACGAACGATTCTTAAAAAATAGAAATTCAAGTCAAAGTATCGAGAACTCAGAGAGATATTCACAAAATATTGATTGGATCATTCATTATGGGCAACTCGTTGTTAGATTTTGTTCGCTTGTTAGAAAGTCTTTTGTAGAAAAGTATTCATTATGCAGTTTTGTTTCATAAAAAGGAAAGTTCATAAAACAGTATCGTATCCTGAATCTCTCTAACCAATTTCCATTTCGACTCATTACTTATTAACCCTAGTAGTACCAACCTGGGTCATTTTTGACCCCTCTCGGATCTTAGCCACCGTAAGGACTGGAGGTCTGAAAATTTGTGTGTATATACTCCATCAGGTATGCAGGCCAGAGACGTCAACCGCACCCCGATTGCTTGAGTGGGAAGGGAGTTATGATGGACGATACTAGTTTTTTCTTTGAGGTTCATAACTCTGGAAAGGAGGAACTCTTTGGATCGGCCAATCCAACATTATGTAGCACTATGTTCCAGCTATCTGCCATACAAATTTCATTGAAGTTCGTCAACTCGTTCAAGAACTGAGTCCACTGTACACCAACCATCAGTGTGCTGAAAAACAATCTAATACCCTTTAGAAACCAATAACTCAGCGATAGTTCAATGAGTCAACATGAAACTTTTAGAGAAGCTTCCTCCATAGTTGGGCACTGTTTTCTGAAAGTTTCACAAACGGATCTCATGGTAGAGAGACATAGCACACTAACGTTCATCACGCCAGTGTGCACGGATCCCAGGCCCTCAATGTTAGAGCTAATGAGCTCATTTTTGACTGAATAAACAGCATAAGTCGAGCATGATTTTTATGAAGAAACATCAAGGATTAGCCGTATTACTACATAAAAACAGCAACATTGATTTCTCTATTGTATCAGAGCTGAAGCAAAAATTGTGTTTTTTTCTTCTAAATTTTTCAATATATCATGCAATGAACGCGTGGTTCGTGCTGTTAAGCTACATTTCTGGCGTAGTATGTGCATAAAAATTTCCAGGCCTTCATCCCTTATGGTGGCTGAAACCCGAGGAGATTACGTTTGACCGGCACTGTAGGCTTGGTACTACTAGGGTTAAGGCAGGGCTACTAAACTTCTCTATGGCTATAGGAGTATGGTAAGAGGATAGATGAAACGATTCAATAAGTTGAATAAGAAAAATGTCTCAAAGTAGGGATTTGCGATTAAAACGAATAACGAAACATGAAGGAACAGAATAAAGCAAATACGAATAGGAGAAAAAAGGAGACATAGAAGTGAAGTGACAAGGATAGGAAACGACATGGGAGAATGGAAAACGTACGGGATTGTGGAGAAAAATGATTAACAGATAGAAAAAATGAAATTAAATGGTTGAAAACTCGAGAAAAAAACGAAAAAAAAAGATGTTTTAACATGTACGAAATTTATCGACTCATCAAAATTGACTTTTTTTAGCTCTGAAACATCTGCTCATGTGTGACGATTTAAAGAGTTCAGAAGTGTTCAAAATCATGTTATTGGTTATGCTGAGTAATTATAGAGAGATTATTTCTAATAAAAGCTTAAAGAATACCGTCAACAGCGATTAGATTAATAAAAATCGTAAAAACGCGTTTTTCTCATACTTAACAATCGTGCATGAAATGTGTTATTTTTATTGTTCTTTGTATTATACGACCAGTATTTCTAATGACTTTTGGAAATTTTGCAACGAAATTTATGAAATCATCATAACTTGTAGATGGTAGTTTATCATTGTCATCGCGTGTAAAAGTAAATAAAAACAAAGAAGGAAAATTTTCTCAGGTTTGTTGCAGTTTCTTGATTATGTTATCCTATGCTAAATGAAGGAGAACAGAAAGTACAATAATTGACTTGAGCTGAGGAAAGATAAGAAATCGGTTGAATAAAGGAAATTATTAAATTGGTATATGACTAGACTTAGTCTTTTCTGATCAATCACACAAAACAATTCTGCACATTATGGTAGTCGTTCCACAGTTAAAAGAATAAGTCAAATGTTTTTATTCTTTTGAAAATAAATATTCATATTATTATCAGACTTTTGTATCTACTCAAAGGAAGTACGTTAACGATTTTCATTCAATGAACATGTCACTCTATCATGGTAATGCCATATTCCAAAATAGTTTTCATGCCTATTATCATAAGCCATTTCCATGTATAATTAAGTTGTTATTCACACCAATTATCTTAAAAAATGTATTTTTCAGTTGCAAAAGATTGAACGTTTAATTATGTCTAAGAAAGCAAATCAGTTGCATGCAACGCGTTTAATCTCGTTGAAAGAAAAAACAAATTAACGAGATCGTATTTAATTCAGTGAAAGTAGTCAACAAAAACTACCAAAAATGCGTTTTTCAGCTTGATTATTCGATTTTTAACAGACTCGAGACTTTAACTCTTTGAATACCAAGACCCGAAATTCAAAATGCCTTTTCTATATTCTTAATTTTCGAATAAATTGAGCACACAGAAAGATATCGAGATGTGGTTTTCGCTATGATATAGAGAACACTTGGGAGTGTGGATACAATTTACAATCTGCGATCAAAATGAGATGTTTCACCTAGTAGGCTCGATGATTTTCTGAAAGACTGCCTCTAAAAAATCATACTTTATAAAGTACGTTGGTACTCAATGGGTTAAACATGTAAAACCTAGTAAAAACTGCAGATACAAATGATAAAAACGCGTGAATTTCGAAAAATATACTTCTATTAACGTATTTTTTGATGGTCTTGAGGGTGAGCGTGGGTTTGGATGAAGAGAAGACATACATCCACACCCCACAACCTAAAAATACAAGCGTATTATATACAGTCATAGGTTATTTTCTTGTTAAGATCGTAACAGAAAATGGAGTTCGTGCGAAATATAGAAAATAAGCAATTTGGACGAAGAGAAAGTATTAAGTCTATATGTAAGTAATAAAAGACTTTTTAAAAGCTTTTCATGTATAATCCAACAAAATTTCTCTAAAATGATTGGTCACATTCGGTATTAGTCGAAAAAACATCAAAAGACGAAGGCAGTAAGAAGACATTTAAGGCTACTAAAATTTTTTATAAAAAAAAGTCTAATCCGACCGGGAAAGTCTTATTAATTTGTTTAAAGCAGTTTCTGAGTTGTAAAAAAGGGTACCATATGAGTTTTAGCGAGAAATCGAATTCTTTTTCCATGAATTCAATAAGGTCATAGTATGGAAGTAACTTTCGTTACTCAAAATATATAGAGACGGACCAAATGTCACAAGAGAGGCTACTTGAAAGAAATGCACGAAATCCTTTATAAGCTACTACTTCAAGAGATTTCACAGATCTGTAAAAACACTTTCTTGCATTCTACTTCGATGTAAGCGCATCACCAACACAGTATCTCGATTGTTTTGCCTGTGGGAATAGCATTAGAGCAGCTCCTCTTATCTACCGTTCCAAAACTCTTCATGAGATCTGCGAAAGAATGCGACACTCAAACAATAATGATATCTTATCAAAACTTGCACACGCAGCTCTGCTGGAAGGATTTAGCTATAACATAGATAGATTAATATTGAGATTCCTGCTACTAGAGCTGGATATCGAATCATGGTATCGCCTTTGATTTAATTTCTAATGCATTTTACTCTCTGAATCTTATTGGGCGATATTCTGATTGCACAATCTCGGAAAAATGTTGATTTCTCAATTCTGTGACTTGGCCGGCCAAATCGTACAGAAGCTCAACTTTCAAAACAATCTGAGAAATTCTGATCCATAAGTGTGAAACAAAAATAAATTGCTTTTTCCTAAAAATATTTCATACAAAAGTTTGAAAGTCTTTTGAGGATACATTGTTTATAACTGTCGGCTGAAGCGTAAGATGTTTCATAAGCAATATTGTTTCGAGAGTGGACATATAGTTAGTTGGATAAATCGATGCTCAAGCAGTTCATTCAACAGATAGATAGAAAGATAGAGAATTAGTTAGGTAGTTAAATGGATAGTTAATTAAGTAGACAGAGAGATAGTCAAATGAATAGACAAATACAAAGATAGCTAATTCGAATTTTGTATTGTAAAAAAAAAGTAAATCTAAATGTATCTTTGTTTCGTGTAAAGCCTTCGAAGGGTTCAGAATTAGTTGCGATTTTCCGAACGTTTTTAGATTTGGTACAGTTCTTCTATTTTGTTCAGAGTACACGCTCTTTTTACTGTGCAGTTTGATCATTCTATGAAATATAACTGGGCATAGTGCTAAACGGTACCTCTATGTCTCAATATAATTTACAACAGCTATAAAGAGCAGTGCAGTAAAAAGCATAAAATCAGCCTAAACATAAGTACCTTTTATTTCTGTTTACAAAAATATCAAAGTATTGTATGGCTAATATGAATACGTTGAATGTAGAGTAGATAGAAACAGAAAAGTTCATAGTTTCAACTATTATTCTTGTTCTTCCTTTATAGTTAATACACAAAGCTCATCAAAAATATATTCGTATTTGTTTTAAATTCGATTTTCCCTTCTCATCGTAATGTTAGCACAATTATCATCAAATAATGACAACAATAATTCAAATATCATTGATTTATTATATCATTTATGCAAAGAAAATGAAATAGAAAAAGTTCAAAATATTTTACCATTTATTGGTAATATAAATATCATCAATGAAATTCAAAGTTCAACTGGTTCGACATGTTTGCATGTGGCATGTTATTATGGACATCGAGATATGGTTAAAATTTTATTGGAATACGGTGCTGTACATTCCATAAGAAATTTACGACACAATTTAACACCTTATGAAGAAACTACTACTGATGATATAAAACAATTATTTCTAGAACATCAAAAATTATTTTCACATAATGATCATGATTATATTGAATGGTCAATGGTAGGAGATGATCTCCTTGAAAAACGACGCGAATTCCATCAAGCTATTGATTTATACAAAAATTATGATAGTCATCATTTAGTATCAAAATTATTAGCTGAAGTTATTCATTATTATTTAAATGAATATTTGATCAATCAAAATAATAACACGAGTAATTTGAAAGATGAAATCATCCGTAAACAAATTGAAACTATTGAAGGATATTTCAAAGAAGCCATTGAAAAACAAGATTATTTAACATATTTTATCAAAGCTTATACATTAACAAATTTCTTTTATAAAGTATTAAATAAAGACTTAGCTTTATATATATTAGAATATTTCGACAAAACAAAAACGTTTTCATCAAATTATCGTCTTGTCAATTGTCTTGTTCATATTGTTACACTTTTAATTTATCATCCAAATTTGCCTCAATATCGATATCAAGGTACATGTTCTCGTGGTATGAGAATAACACAAAGTGATTTAAATCAATATCAATTAAACCGACATATATTAAATCGTGCATTTTTATCAACATCTGTTGATCGTCAAGTAGCAGAAATGTTTGCTGGCGAAGGTCAACAATCTCAAATGAGATATACTCCTAAAGGCCATTGTGCCTTACAATATTCATGTTTATGTCAATATTCAATCAAACAAAATTCAACAGCTATCAATATACAAAATCTATCAACAAGACCTGATGAAAAAGAAGTTTTAATTATTCCATTTACTGTTTTTAAGGTAATGGCAATTAAACGAAATTATCTTGATGATCCAACAGCATCAATTTCAATTGAAATTGAATTAGAAGAATGTGAAGATCCAATTGACGATAAAAAAGAATCAGAAAGTACGCATAGTATACTTTTTCTTGAATGTCTTAAAGAAAATTTTTTCTTTTGATTCCGTTTCTGAAATTTTCAGGTGATAAAGCATCGAGATCATCATTGTCATCATCTGATAATGATATCAAAGATACGGAAGAATATGTAAAATTTAAACAGCGAAAATATCTTTTTTATGGCATTATTGGACTTTTGTTATTGGCTGTTCTCTTGGGTTTAACTTTTACATTCGTTTTTACTTTTGCTATTAAAAGAAATTCCACGAAAAATGCAACGACTACAGCAGAAATAGATGAGACTTTCGAATACCAATTACCATCAGGTAAAAGTAACACAATAAAATACGCTAAAAGTGTGAAATCATTCCCCAACTTCTCCAATTGCATGGGTATCAATTTCCAGCTTTTAGATATCTGAAAGTTTATCACATATTAAACAACAAGAACGGCACTATTAGTAGTTTATGGCTATTCTGGAAAGTAGAAATACATAGAAAACCTGAGAAAGGACCTCCGATTTACTTGTATACGCCTCCTATGTATTTCTAGTCTGTATAAAATCTATAGAGTACCGCATTTCTTGTTGGCTGACTTGTTGAAGGTTTGCAAGTGTTCAGAAATCTGAAAGCTCATAGTCAAATATACCACATATAGTTAGATGGAAATTTCAAATAAAAGACTTCTCATAAATGCAAAAAAAGTGGTTTTGTTTCTTAGCAACGAAAACCTAAAATTTCTATTCTATTAGGCTGAAAATTATACTCTTCTAGAGGAGTACTGCGATGATTTCAAATAGAGTAGACAATAAATTTTATATCAAATGAAAGCCGGTCAAAAGTGGGATGTATCCATCGAATAAATAAGGACTCTAAAGATTTTTCGCAGTCGAACTTTGATAGTTTCTAGAAGTCGATGAACCATCATCATAGCAAAATTTTCTGTTACGGGAGGGAGATCAAATTAGCTGTGGGATAAAACTATTTAACATAGCAAAGTTAGGTTTATTTTTTATCATTTATTAGGCTATAAAAAGTAGGGACACCTTTGCTTGCTATGTTAAATAGTTTTATTCCACAGCTAATTTGAGAACAAATTAATTAAAATTCACTCTTTTCTTTGGTAATGAACTGATGTTGCAGTTAATAGATTTATAAAATTTGATATATTTAGATTAAACTATTCTTTCTTAAACAGGTACAAAATAGACATTTTTTATATGTATTTCTTGTAGGTTGTCCCAATATATTAAATCGATCTAGCTGGAATGCACGACCCTATCTAAGTCGTGAGAATTTACAAACATTTCCGGTCACACATATTGTTATAAGACGATTGAATGATTCGCAACCAGTTATGAATCAACAAGATTGTATTAAAGAAATAAAGGAGCTTCAAGATGCTCAAATGGATACACGAGGTTGGGCTGATATTGGTTATAATTTTCTCATATGTAATGATAATAATGACCAACAACAAATTTATAGAGGTAGAGGGTGGAGGTATATTGGTGCACATTGTGTTGGTTATAATTTCATATCTTTGGGTGAGAATGAATTCTGCTTTTAACTTTCTAGTATAATGCACCATAGATTATTGCCAATTCAACCTTGGTCTTGTCTTTGTCTTAAAAATAAATAAAAACTTAGGTGAATTTTGATATGTGTGGTTAGAGTTGGTAAGAAACTTTCTACGAAATCTCAATAGAACTCGAGAGATCCTGATAGACCAGAGAAATATAGAAACAAAGACGGATTAATACATTCTGAATTGCTCTATAGTTGATGTACGCCAGGAAGACCATTTTTCCAAAAAGAACTGTCTATGGTTGTTCATACGAAAGTATCGCGGTTGTAGTGATTGACCGAAATTTCGTCAAGAACCATTTGCAGCAACATTTTTTGGCGTCATTGTAAAAATATTCATTCTATTATGTCATATATAAGCTTTTTGGTTCCTGTTAGAAAACTAACTTTGAGGTAGAAATGAGAGGCTATTATCAGCGTATTTTCCATCTAGAGACAATCATATATGACGATTAAGACGAAATTTTATAACTGAACGGGATCCCATGTAGAATAATCTTCCCCATTTGAAGTTCTCAAAGACGACTCATTTTCTGAAATCTTTCTGGAAACTTCATACTGATTTTTTCACGAGGCTGTAAACCACATATGAACCTTTGGCTACCTGTATGTCAACTCGCAATGCAGTGAGTTTCTTCACAGGTAACCTCGACTGAAAATCTGGATTTTATCAAAAACATACCTTGTGACAAGATCCTTTTGAGCCAATGAAAAGATTTACGAAACTGAAGTTTTTAGTTAAGATCAATTTTTGATCAGTTCTAGCCACAGTAAAACTTTCATGCCTCTATCTCGTTCGAGTCATTAGACTTGGAATCCAAAGTTACCTGAAATAGTGACCTCTGCCTCAATGAATAAGATGCATCAAATATTAAGAATTGAATCGTTTCAGTTACAAACCTTTTTTTTTGCTAGTCGAACTCATTGGTAAATGCAGCTGTGAAAAATTCAGTTCGATCGATCAAGCTGTTCTTTATATATAGTCTATAATACCTCCTAGGAGAGGATCTTTATTTTTGGAGCTTCGATACGAGCTGACGTGGACTGGATCTAAGCGTTCTATTAGTTCCTAAATTCGTGTTTTTAGATTTAAGATGATATTTCTTTGTTTTCTAAAAGGTATTGGCATCATTGGCAATTATACTACTATAAAGTCTCTAAACACATTTAAATCACTGATCCAATGTGGTATTGCAAAGAATGCTATTGTAAAAAATTTTACACTGGTTGGATATGTGGATTTAAGAGATATTTATGAATATTATTTGAAATACTTCAAAAATGATACCGCTCTTCAATATAACAATCAAGCCAACAGTAGACGGTTTTTTTGTCAATAATCTGACGGTATTCAGTTTTATAATTCGTCTCAAACAACTACCTTTTCCCATTGGAAACGAAAAAAAATTGTAAATAATGGCAGAAAATTTAATCAAGCACATTCGAGAACGATTCTTAACCATATTTTATTTATGAATATATCATGATAACTCAGCAACAGATCGATAAAGAATATTTTACATAGGGTGTGGGGTGTCGGTGTGGGGTGTGGGTGTGGGTGGGTGTGGGGGGGGGGGTGTGGGGGTGGGT